GGTCCACGATAGACGGCTCCTTTGATGGGAACTTTGGAGGGAAAAAAAAAAAAAAAAAAAGACATGGACTGTCGCTTCCATGATGCCCGACGGGATGGTTAGTCATCTGACCCCGCCAATCGATAAATGGCAGGCGAGCGCCTACTCAAAGAAGATAATTAGACGAGTAGCCGCATGTTGACGCAAGCCTCCCACTCCCACCTGGTGCCCCCAGTGGTTGTCGCGGGTGCAAGATGGTCTGTGCATTCGAGTCCACAATCGGCTAGTGCAATGCGGGTACCGAACCAGAAAGCGGCGAGTGGGAGCGATGAGCGGTAGGGTCACAGTGCGGTGGGTGGACACTGTGGGGCCTGGTTGAGCAACCAGCAAAGCTGCCAGCCCAAGGAATCACGCGCATTGGACTGTCCCGTCCCACCATCCACGGCCACGCAGCACGCAGTACGCAGAGGTGCCACCCACCTGCACCCAGTGCCAGCGACAGCAGTCCGCGCAGTTTCCGTCCCAGCGTGAGAGGTGCCAGCCAGCCCAGTCAAGTCCCATACCCAGTCACCCAGTCCCAGTCCCAGTCCCCAGTTTGCCTCCTCTGTCCGACCAACCGACCGACCGACCGACCGAATACAGCCTCAAAGTTCTTCCATCTCATCATCATCTGCCATCCCACGCAACCCAAAAATTTTGCGCCGCGACGCCGCAGTCGACGACATCCAAACTTCAGTTTCGTCGCCTTCCATCCGTGCAAGCGCGTTGCTTATCATTGTCGCCTGCACTCCGCTATCGCTGTCGCGTCAGCCGCAGCATCCTCCTTTCTCCCCAACGCATATACCGTGCCTTGCGTCGCTCAAATCCCCCGGCACCCGCCAATCGCGCGACCCGACCGCCCCCTCCCATTTTGATGGCTTCCTGATCATCTCGACCCTACGTCACCCGGGCACATCTCGTTGCCACGCATTCATCGACGACGACAAGCGTCTTCTCGTACGATCGAGCTCAAGACTTCTCGTCCCCGACCGACCGACCTCTCGCTAGAGAGCCGCGCCCCATTCCAGGCGCGACCGAACGACGGGAAAGTGGCGCTCACCATCCTCACCCAGACCGACGCTGAGCTTTCCCTTCAACAACACCTTGACCTCGCTCCCGATATCCTTAGCTACCCCCGTCTCACTACCGAGGGGGGCACCGAACCATTGATGATGGCACAACCCGTGCCTCATCATGCGACGGACAAGAAACGCGTCAAGGTCTACGAGCTGCGCAACAATGACTGGTTCGATCGCGGCACTGGCTTCTGTACCGCTGCTTTCATGCAGGTATGTCTTGTCCCGCGCCTCTAAACTGTCGCGACCTCGCCTTCTCCGCCGTCGATGCCCCCTCTATCAACATGTCAAAAGTCCGATGCTAACCTGATGGTGGTCGTCAGACGGAAGATGGCCAGCCTCGAGACCCTAGAGTCATCGTTGAATCAGAAGACCACCCTGATAGGCTTCTATTGGAGACAAAGATCTGCAAAGAGGATGGCTTCCAGAAGCAGCAAGGCAAGTTTCACAGTACCTCGGTGTGGCACAGATAGACTGACTCCTGGAAACAGAGACTCTCATCGTCTGGACAGAACCTAGTAATGGCATCGACATGGCCCTCTCCTTCCAGGAGGCGGATGGCTGTGCATTGATATGGTAAGCGCCGGCTTCGTATATCTGTCATTGATGTTCGTCGCTCATCATTCTTCTGTGCGATAGGAAATTCGTCAATAGTGTGCAACAGACTTTCCAGGGTGGCATGGCCGCTGCCGGTAAGTCGCGTGCTAACGGGGACCGCTCTGCACGACCCCAATCTAACGTTTTTCATTCAGACGACAGTCTTTCCGATGATCTGGCCATGGAAATGCCCAGTACCATCAGCCTTCCACCAGCCGAAATCGGGAATCTCCAGGAAATTGAGACTAGCATGCGCATCATGAGTCAGACAGTCAATGGACGAGACGCACTAGCTAAGTGCATCATGGGCGAGGACTACATTGGCAAGCTGATTCCTTTGGTCGAAATGGCTGAAGATCTCGAGAGCCTATCGGATCTGCACCGACTTTGCAACATCATGAAGACCGTCATTCTTCTCAACGACACCGCCATAATAGAACATGCTGTATCCGACGATTGCGTTCTGGGCGTCGTTGGCGCTCTCGAATACGACCCCGATTTCCCCAGCCACAAAGCCAACCATCGCCACTGGCTAGATAACCAAGGACGATACAAGGAGGTTGTACCGATCCAGGACGACCAGATCAGGAGGAAAATTCACCAGACCTACCGACTTCAGTACTTGAAGGACGTTGTACTGGCACGCATATTGGACGATCCGACTTTTTCCGTTCTCAACTCTCTGATTTTCTTCAACCAGGTGGATATTGTCCAGCATCTGCAAGGGAACGGGGAATTCCTTGGTGATCTTTTCGGCATCTTCAAGATAACGCAAACGGATCAGAGACGGAAGAAGGAGGCCGTTCTGTTCATTCAGCAATGTTGTGCCATTGCAAAGAACTTGCAGCCACCAGCTCGCCAAACTCTCTACAACAACTTCATCGGTCACGGCCTGCTTCAGGTCATCAACTTTGGCCTGCGGCACCCTGACGTGAGTGTTCGGGTGGGCGCTACCGACGTTCTCGTATCCCTGATAGACCACGACCCGCACATGATTAGAGGCACCATTTATCGACAACTCCATGAAAGGCAACCGCCATTGACAGATTCGCTCATTGATCTGCTTTTGGTAGAAGTCGACCTTGGCGTCAAGGCACAGATTTCAGATGCCTTGAAGGTCCTCCTTGACCAGGGCCCTCCGCTTCAGTCGCAGGAGGCTTTCGCAAAAGCCAACGGGGAGTTCCCAGGCCGACGGCCCCAGGCAATGCAAGATCCTCAGCACGCCAACCTACTTGACAATTTCTACGCTTCATCAGCAATAAGGCTCTTTAGGCCCCTCACCGATCTCCGAGGCCGCACCAACATGGCATTCCCGTTGCAACAAGCCTCAATGTTCACATATCTCATCGAAATACTTTGCTTCTTCATCAGACAACACCAAGGGAAATGCAGACCCTTCGTTCACCAACAAGACCTACTCCGGCGAATTGCACAGCTATTTGCCTGCCCGGAGAAGTATCTCCGACTAGGTTAGTGATTAGCTGTTCAACCGGTCTCGTGCTATGCTAACCGTGAATGGCAGTTGCCATTCGCTTCTTCCGCAACCTAGCAGGAATGCAAGATGAGTTTTACGATCGGCTCATCATGGAACATGGCATCTTGGAGCCCCTGCTTGACATGGTCTCCCAGTCTATGCATCGGGATAATCTCCTCAGCTCCGCCTGTGTCGAGTTTTTCGTATTTGTTACCGGGCAAGAACACAGAAAGGCCATGAACAAGTTCCTCGTCCAAAACTACCGCGAACGACTAGTTGACTTGAGTTACATGGAAACTTTCCGTAACGTTCTAGTGCTCTACGATCAGACTCAAGGCCACACCGCCGAGTTCTACACAGAGTCAGAAGAGGATCTGGCGAGACGGACCGCCGCCAACACCAATCAGAGGATGATGGAACACATCGCCGTAGATCAAGCCGAGGAGGATTACTTCAACACCTCGGATGACGAAGATGGACCTGAGAGCAGGGCTTTTGACAAGGTGCAGCCCATAAATGGCTCAGCGGCGTCAACGCCAACCTCAAAACCGCTAGTCGACTACCCTTCGGATGAAGAGGTGGATGAGAACGCTGATCCTGAGGTGTTGCCAACGTCTGGCGAGAAGCAAGACGGAACAGATGGCGCTTCCGATACGAGCAGCGAATCATCCTCGGTGGCACCGCCAGAACGCCTTTCTGAGAAGAGACGGCGCGAAGAAGATGACGACGATGAGCTTGGGAAACTGATGCAGAACAAGCGCAGAAACAGTAGTTCTGCAGGGTCGAATGCATCAATGACATCAAGTATGGTCAGGAGAAAGAAGACCTTTGCAGATCGGCCAAACACAGCAGCACCCAAAAAGATTGCCATCAGTATATCGCCTTCAGTGAAGACTGGTGGGACGGCGAGGTCGGATGATGAATCCTGAGCGTTTACCCTGGCATTCACTGCATGGCAAATTCCAGGTACGATTGGCGATGACTGTTTCCATCATGCTTTAACTAGGGACCGGCGAGTTTGGGGGCGGTGAGGCGTTATTATCACAGTTCACGACATGGGAAATCGAGCAGAGTAACCAGAACTAGCTAGAGAGCCAGAAGGTGCGCCAGTGTGAGAGCGGCTAGAAGCTCTTTCGAGGGTCTGTCGTGCAGGACGGCAAGTTGACATTTCAGAGTGCGCCGACAGCGGGAAGGACCCCCCCATCCACCTCTTGACCGCGCCCTGGTGGTAGGAGAGAACGCGACTGAGGGGAGAAAGAAAGAAGAAAAGAGGACAAGTCCCATCGTGGTATGTTGGGCTCTGCGGGCTGGAATCGCCAAAGTAGCATCGTGTACCATATTCTGTTGAAGTTTTCTTGCTTCGACGCCGGGCCTTCTCGCGGGCCGGTGAGCCTGTTTCTACAAGGCTTTATTTTGCACTCGGGCGCGTACCGTTCCAACCCATCTCTGAGCAAATACCAATTTGGATTTAACCAATTTTTCGGAGTTCTCTGTGCCGTTGTGATGGTGATGTGAAGAGAAGAAAACCTCGGGAACTTTGGCATAGGTCTGAATTTCAGAGTACCATGATCTGTCTTCGCCTCGTGAGGATACCTTTGCGCATGATGCACTCCCTTAGCACAAGATCATGTCGTCAGTCTATGATTGAATATGCATTCTATGTTGGCTATGTTTTTACATGTATATATCTATCGACGCCGTGAAGCTTACATTTGTATGAATACATATTTTAGCCGCCGCTTTTTATTGGTGAAACCCAATGTTGCGTGGCATCTTACACGGGGGTTCACATCAATCGGAACACCCCTAGCATCCCCTACCCAAATCTGTCATCCCTATCTAAGTGTAGTCGATCTCCACGAGTAAGCTTTCTTGCCTGGCTGCGACTCGGTCCCATTTGAACCCCCGGGCCTTGGCGTGGAGTTAACAGGCACCTCGCGCTTACTTTGAACCCTCCTAACCAGGGTCGGCTGCGTGGAAGGAGGTGCAGGCGCAGGCGCACCGGCAACATTGTCTTCGTCCTCGCTCATTGTGGACAACTCTTGATCTTGTCCAGAGGCCGGCGGTGCGAGACTATCAGCCTTGCTGGTGCTCTTGGATTTAGAAGTGGCATGGGACATGGCGTCGAGGAGGACCTCCTTAACCTCTGCCTTCTGGTCGAGGTTCTCCTTTCTCAAGGCCGTGCGGACCTGGTGTACGAGGGCCAAGATCTCGATATCGGCCTGAATGAGCGCCTCGTCCTTGTCGGCCTCGGCACTTCTCCGGAGGTACTGCACCGCCCAGTAGAGGCGGTACCTGACCTCCTTAGAGGTGCGGTACTCGCGCGTCACAAGCTCGGCGAGCAGCCAACGCACCTTGTCATACTCGTGCCGGATCACGTAGGCGGCGAGGAGGTTATTGAAGTTGTAGACGCTGTAGCAGAGGTCGCCGCGACCGTTGACCTCGGCCGCGATGATGCAGAATTGGATCATCTCCCGGTAGTTGCGCAGTTTCTCGCAGATGCGGGCGGCGCGGTTGAACAGGCCGTCGTCGATGTGGAAGTCTTTGAGGCGGAGGTCGTCGAAGACAGCCTTTATTTCAGGATAGACCATACTTCGGCCGTCTTCACCCGTCATCCCGGCGCGGCGCCCTTCGATTTCGGCGAGTTGACCGTGAACAATGGGATACATGGCCTCGTTGGTGTTGCAACCTTCGGATTGAGCACTACTTAGGAGTGCCATGGCCTGTCTACTTCGAGGGCCTTCGGTTTCAACAACAGCTCTGACTGCCAACTTAAGACAACGACTCGTGTGTCCCATGCCGTTGTGCAGCGCACGCTTGTAAAGAGCCAGCACACTATGCCACCTTCCAATCTGTGCATCCGCTTTCATGGATTCGAAGGCACCCACCTCGTGGGCAGGGCTCGCCATATAAGCTCTCAACCGAACCTGTTTGGCCCGGGGGCTTGTCGTATTCGTCAGGTTTTTGTAACATAGATCAAGACCAGGGAAGGCGGTGCTGATGCCAGCACCTTTCATGGCATGATATAGGTCGGACAGCTGTTTGACGCTATACTTCCAGTCTCTGCGGCAACTGACCAGCATTGAAATCCAGAATCTGCTGTCGGCGGTGTACCCGGAATCCATACAGAACACCAGCCATCGCTTCAGCGCCTGCGTGTCGCGACATTTTGCATGTCTGTCGGCAATGAATGTGACCAGGTGGCGGTCAAGGCCTAATCCGAACTCCGAGATGTACGTTTCCATGAAAGTCTCAACCTCACCCCACGTGTGAGTCTTCGCATAAGTTTCTAGTACAGCCGCAAATACGCGACTGAAGTGCCGTTCGTTGTGAGGGTTGGCCGTTTGAACCGTCTTCATCGCCTCAAAATCGCTGAAGACTCCGGCCCAGTTCCCCTCCTTGGCGTTTTGAAGGGTGAATTGGCCGAGTATCTTGACATCAGTTTGAGCCTTTGGGTATATAGATATAAGTTCCTCCATGAGTAAATCTGCTCTCTCGGCTTGTTTAGCCTCGATGCAGACTCGCACCATCCTCGATCGAATCTCAAGAGTGTCTTGAATACCGTAAAAATTGTTGTCCCTTGCGTCTTCGAAAAGCTGAAGCGTCTCCGAGAAGTTGCGTGTCGACTTCCAACGCACCCATATGAAGTCTTCCAACCATTTCCATGGCATGTCCCATCCATCGCGCTCCCTCAGCAGGTTGAATGTCTGGAGAACTTCGCGACCATGGTAGCCTCCGGTTGCAACGACTGAGTTGACGACGTCCATGCAGAGACGTTTAGAGTATGTAGAGGTTTTTTTCGACTCGGCGAAGACTCCGATAAATGTATCAATGGCCAATACGTGCTGCTGATGCTCGAAGAGTTGCCTCATGAACCAGACCAAAGTCCCAAGCTTGTCGAAACTCCAAGTAGAAACCTGTTGAAAGATTTGAGCAACGTCAATAGGGCGCTGCTCGTCCTCTGCCAAGGCTTGACTGATCAAGTCCTTGCCCACTTTCACGTAGCCAGATCGTATTTTCGATTTTTCCAGTGGTGGCAATAGCAAATTACCCACATACAGCCTTGCCGCTACTTGTAATCGTTCAGGGGCAGATTCGTCTCTCTGAGGCTGTCGCGTCGTTGGGGAGATCAGGGATGTGGTAAACTCGAGAACACACTCCGCCAGCACGTCGTTCTCAGTGGCCACCTTATGATGGACTGCAAATTCCAGAATATTTCCGGCAATTCCAAAATCGCTCCACTGGTGGCAGGCCTTTGATAGTAGCGAAGACAATTCCGAAAACCATTCAGGCAGCGTTTGCGACTGGTCCACAAACCTGTAGGCTCGAGCAACAAGATTCAGGGCCGCGGGTGGTATGTCATTTTCGCGCCGTACAGAAGTCGAATTGCGAAGCAGTTCCTCTAGCCCAGCAGTCTGAGCAATAGCACCAGAGTGATTGCTTATTACACGTTCTACTGCTAGATCAATGGCGTTCCTTTGTCCTGGCCGTCCATTTGGTTGATTTCCATAGGACCTTGAAACGCTGTCTCGAGCAGACAAGTCCTGTATCGCAGGGACTGCGGACGAGAAACGGGACAGAAAGGGTTCATGCCTCTGTCTCTGTGTAGCGTTCAACGTCGGCCGGCCACTTTTCTGCGTTGTCTCTCGCTTCTCTATCGTCTTTTGTGGAAGATCTCGTTCGCTTGCTACCCTCGTTGGGCGTCGTGCGTCTGGGCCGGTTTCGCTGACGTGTTGATCCAAGTATGAGCTATCGAACACCAATCTACCGTGTTCGTGTGAGGAATCGCGGCTCCGAGACCGTGTTGGCCAGCTAACGAAATTTGGGTCGGTGGCGACCTCTTCTTGTAGAGCCTCGAGAGCAGCGACGCCGCTGGTGCTGTACCGTTTCAAAGACTTCAATCTCCTGCCATTTTCGACTGCTGATCGTGCTATCTTGATTCGCTGGCGACGCTCTTCCGCTAAGAGGACGAGAGAGCAAGAAGTCCCGAAGAGAAGACCTCGAAGTGCATGAATCGCGGCTTTCGAGGGAACGGGGGCGGGGGCAGACATCGTGCAAGCTCGACAATTGCCATGATCGTTCGCGACTTGATTATCGGATCATTTCGTAGTCTCAAGAGGTTAATCGCTCGAAGGGGGGCTATCGCAATGTTGGACGCGGTGCCAATGGGTCGTTGAGACTGCTAGTCAAAAGTTGAAAGACCCTTGTCACATTTACGCCCACTGTCGTACCACCCTCGGCCTTTGCGAAGGTGCCTTATGCGGACGCTTTTTGCCCGTTGACTACTGTCCCGGCGGGCTGGATTGGGGTGAAGGGGAATAGGAGTTGATCCGTTCCGCTGAAAGTCGTCTTAGTCATCATATCCACATACATGGGGAACCGAACCCGAACCCGACAATAAGCAGCTCCAATCGCCAAGGCATAACACGAAATCCATCCACTCCTGTCCAGAGGCTTTCGAATTCGAGTGATCATAGAAGCTTTATTGTCTCCTAGGCCGCCGCTGATCAGTTGTTATACTTCATGCAGCAAGCCTTGAGGAAATCATGACAAAACGGTAGACAGGCTGCCTTGTGCGATGCTTTGAACTTGTGGACATTCTGGAGATAAGGTAGAGCGAAGGCAGGAAGGAAGGGCCCGATTTCCAATCATCATCTCCTCTCGGCAAAGGAAATGTATCGTCAGCTCTCAGTCATCTTGCAAGCCTACAGTGCAGACCTGCAGGTCACCGGAGACTTCATTTACTCCGATTGCTTAACATCAGTTCGCCTGGCGCCTGCAGCCCGCAACCGGTAGTGCGAATCGTCGGGGTTAAGACCGGTGATTAGACACAAAGCAACTCCAATGTAAGCTAAGGTGGGATGCGGGACTCGCGCAGGGTCCTAATGCATGGCACTTCGGCTGGAGCATCGCGGACTTGGAGACTGGCGCAGGAGCTAACTCTAAATGTCCACATATCCAAATGGACTGACAGCGTCTGAAGAGACTGGAAGAGCTACCTTACCATGAGATCATCTGTACCTTGATCTACCTTACAGCCTGCCATGCCAACTGAGGGGGTCTGCCTACCCTCCTGTCATGTTGCCTGTTGTACGTCCAGTTTCGTCCGGAGGGGAAAGAGCGGTCGGTATTAGTTGATCCCCCGCCTTCCTGCTCTAAGTCTCCCTCATGGAGAGATATAAATTTCCACCTCAGTCAGCTCGCAAATTCATACTCTGACCAACCCAACGACCTGACTTTATCCTAAGTTCCTCTTATTCTGGGCTGCATTCGACTTACTTCCCCATACATCTCACACTACCTATCGTCATGTCGGCTCTACCTATGGCAGCTCCGCCCAAGAGCCCCTTGGCTCGTTACCGCATTCTCTCCCCGACGGCTTCCGTTCGAGTGAGCCCTCTGTGTTTGGGCGCCATGAACTTTGGCGATGCCTGGTAAGATCACATTGATGGAACCTGTCTCAGACATCCTTTTCTAATGAGTTTCACAGGAAGGGATACATGGGAACTTGCGATCAAAAGACCGTGGAAGAGATCCTTGACTTCTTCCATGAGCAGGGGGGCAACTTCATCGACACCGCCAACAACTACCAATTCGAAGAGTCCGAAGAGTGGATTGGCGAATGGATGAAGAAAAGAGGCGTTCGTGACCAAATGGGTAAGTTTGCGCACCTATCCCAGCAGGAGCTGTTTCTGAAATGGAGACAGTCATTGCAACCAAGTACACCACGAACTTCCAAGCGGGCCCTAACGCGCCGGGCATCATGGCCAACTTCACCGGCAACGGATCCAAGAGCTTGCACACATCTGTAGAGGCAAGCTTGCGCAAGCTGAAAACCGACTACATTGACCTGGTGAGCAGCTTTGTTCCTTATCCTTCGAGTGACGTCACTCACACAGAGTAGCTCTATGTGCACTGGTGGGATTATTCTACTTCTATTCCGGAGCTGATGCAGTCCCTCAACAACCTCGTCATCACCGGCAAGGTCCTCTTCCTCGGTATCAGTGACACCCCCGCTTGGATCGTCAGGTAAATGCCATCACGAATCATCCCCACAATGGAGCTGGGCTAACTTCCCCATTAGCAAGGCCAATGAATACGCCAGAAATCATGGGCTACGCCAATTCTCAGTCTATCAAGGTCGATGGTCTGCTGCCTCACGAGACTTTGAGCGAGAGATCATTCCAATGACCAAGGCTGAAGGTTTGCAGCGCCCTCAAAGTGAGACTGGAAAACAACCTCTGACATCTGATTAGGAATGAGCTTGGCACCCTGGGGCGCGCTCGGCGGTGGCGTGAGTACTCCCAACTGACCTTCTGGTAGCTGATTAGAGAAGAGAATGACTGACTTTGAACAACAGGCTTTCAAGACGGAAGAGCAACGCAAGTCCCAGGAGGGCCGCAAAGTTCAGGCTAGCGAAGCACAAATCAAGATTAGCCAGGTGCTGGAAAAGATCGCCAACAGCAAAGGCACAATCATCACGAGTGTTGCTTTGGCTTATGTCATGCAAAAGACGCCTTACGTCTTCCCTATCGTCGGTGGCCGCACTGTCGATCATCTGAAGCAAAACATCGAGGCGTTAGCCCTCGATCTCTCCGATGAAGAAATCCAGGAGATCGAAGGAGCTGTCCCGTTCGATATGGGCTTCCCGCACAACTTCTTGTGGGGAGAGAAGGTCCCGTCGAACCCTGGCGAAGTCTGGTTGTTGAATATGGGAGGAACTTTTGACTATGTTCCAGAGCCCAAGGCTATCGCACCCAAAGAAGGCGGAAAGTAGTACTATCGAGTGCGGAATCAGTACAAAAGGTGGCGGCCGATGGATTACTAAGAGGCTGTTGAAAAGCGACATGGTGTCTCATAGCCGCTGCTTAGCTGCCTTTCAAGTACAATTTCATACACGTTTCTGGCCAGGTACCAATCCAGTTTGCGCTGTTGAACGTAGTCAAAATTCGCAAACCCATTGTTCCTGCGACTGTCATCAGTGTGTTCGAGGCTCTGCAATGCATCATGCAGCTTACTTGGCCTGGACGCCAATCACCATCCATTCTTTCTGCATCGCTTATACAGGCAGGAACAAGATCCTTGACTGGAATTGCTGGCCTTCGGCAGTTGTACAAATACAATTGATCAAGACTTATGCCTGGAAACTCGAACTGTTGTACCAATTCTTGTAATGTCTGGGTTGTATGCAACATCCCCCAGAATCCGCCAGAGGCAGCACAGGACAATAGACTACAAAGCACACAAGAGAAACTTACTAGAATCGAGTACATAGTTGTATATCGAAGCTATGTGAAGAAAAGACAAGGTGAGTTCTCATCCATTTAGTGTGATTAGATCAAGACTATATGGCTTTTATCGATTTACTTCCCATGCAATCATTGAGATGGATTTGTGCTTGCCGTGAGGACTTCGCCATGTGAGAAAGGGGTGACTCTGGTGACTGGTCTCACACCTAGCACAAGGAAGGCGTGACGTGCAGTATCACAGGTGGTACCTTCCTTACTTTACTTTACTTAGAAAGCAGGGGTAGTAGCTCCATCACTCGCTCTTTCCTTCGGCGGACAACTCAAGCCGGCACCTACCTGTGAAAAACTCCTGTGAGCTTCCTGCCACATTCCACCCCTGTTTCAATGCTGAATTGCCAGTCTTTAGCAAATCTCTTTCCACTCGTCTTGATTCCAGGCCGTACGTTGTGTGATTGTTGTTCAATCATGTCGTCGTGAGTCCTGAAGCCTGCCTCTCAGAGCTAGCTAATCAAAGTGACAGGCTTCAGGAAGGTGTGTCGGCTTCGAGGCATATCTTCACATTCATCGGAAGACAAACATTCGGATCCGAGCCCCCCAGAATACTGCATGCAGTCAACGACGCCCGACGAAGCCTGCCGGGCTCTCCACAAGACGTCAGTCCAGACTTCCTTGCAGGGGTATCCGTGAAGGTCGAGGAGTCAGACCAGAACTTCGACAAGTGGGAGTTCATCACTCATGACCAGAGCTCTCCGCTCCCAAGTATCGAGGGACGCGTTTCGGTTGGCGAGTCACCGTCCCAGAGAATGGGGAGCACTTTGCCCACCACGACCCTCGACTCTGATTATAGTTTTTCGCCTTTCCCAAAATCGAGTAGTCGATTCGATCGAAACGAAGGCAAGTCTCATGCCATGGAAGGAGAACTGTTCTGACAGCTTTACCAGCGTGGGATCCCACAGAAGATGTGCCGGTTCAAAGACGATATCAGTTATCTGCGCCAAAGATATCAAGCCCCCTCAAGAGACAGCGCGGAAGGCCGTCCCTGAGATGCCATACGAAGATGACCATCGATAATTACAAGATGTTACCAGCACCGGGAAGATCCCAGGTGCCGATGTATCAGAGTATCAGGGATGGCTTTGATACAAGGGAAATCAATGCATCCAGCAAGCTACAGAGCACGAAGCGGCGAAAGAGATCTCCCGCCCCGTCTGGAATAGGCTCCCTTTCCGTATCTTGCGGCATCAAAACTGCATCATTTCGAAGCAACACGAAGAGTACGAGGATGCGCGAAAGATTTGTCATCGATCCTGATCTACAAGGCAATACCAGAGTCAGGGCTTCATCTAAAGCAGTCGATTTACTGGCGACGCCAGAGTCTCCAGGAGAGGCCACTTCGAATGAGTTCCAGCACGTCGAGAGGAGCAATGTGAACAAAAATTCCGGAAGTCCCAAAGTCTTACCATCCCTGCGCACCATCGAAGTATTGCCAAGGCATAGAAGATCGAGACACCGTTCTAGGAACTTGTTTATCTCATCTGAATATGTTGAAGAGACCGATTCCGCAAGATGCACCGCCCTACAGTCGGACCAAGCGAGCGCAGTCTCTCGTGGTGATTCTCACGTAGGCGCATCAAGCACTTCGCGAGAGGCTTCAGCCACTGCGCTGGTTGGCGACGTTCTTGACAACGAGCTGCGTATGAATGAGCTGTCAGCAACAGATAGTACAACATCGGCCGATACCATGACTAAGATGAAGTCAGGCGATGGACGCAAAATTTCCCTCGGTCTTGTGAGCACCGGGGCAACATATGGAAATGGAGAAACCCCAAAGGCTTCGCCGCTGGCTGGGTTTCAGGAAGGATCGGCCACTTGGGCTGGCGCATTCGCAGACCTTAGACCCCGTCCCAACGGAACCTTTTCCCGCGAAAGCAGAGTCGTGGGAAGCAGGAACAAGGCGCACCTGGGTGCGAAATAGCAACATAATGAGATGTGGGTATGCACGCGAATTTCAGGAGTGCGGAGGATATAGAAGCATGCTTGATCATCGTGGTTGTGTACAACGCTTCCTCGCTGGGAGACTATTGGGAGAATCAGCTTGATGGAGACTACCAAGATTTATCAACAGCCACGCTTCTCACCCAATACAATGGGTATCATCTGATATAATAGATACCAGGCTTTTCCGTAACCCTCCCGGTCCGTTAACATGAAATGCTTGCATATGTAAATCACCTCAAACGCCGTGCGCCCACAAGCCTTGTAAGATTCCATCTCAGGTTCCTAAAAGCCGTAGTCGATCACTTCGCACCCTTGCCCTTAGCTTCCGTTTCGCCAAGCTCACGGATGAACACGCTTGCCTTGCCTTCAGCGCTATAGTCCTCCATGCCTGTTTCGAATCCCGGGCAGACACCAACGGCAAGGTATTTGCCATCCTTGGAAAAAGCCAGGGCCGCTACACTATCGGGGAACTTCTGGTACTGCTTCATCCTGCGCTTGGCCTCGGCGTCCCACAAGGCGACAGTTCCATCACCACCACCCGAGGCAAAGGTGCCGTAGACGGGGTGGAATGTCATTGCGTTGACCGGATACACGATATCGCCCTCGCCATCAGGTGCAGCCGCGCGATGGCACTTGAAGGCGTACTTGCGAGCCTGAGACTCGGCCGAGTCCTCGAACCACTCAACAGCGACGCGACCCTCGATACTACTAGTGGCGTAGCCGGCGTCGTTGGGCATGCAGGAGATGGCACGAGTGAGGAACTTGAGGGATGACTCGCGCTGTTGCCAGGGCTTGATGTCGTGGGGGCCGGGCTCGGCGAAGAGGGCGGGGATGTTGGTCAGGTCGTAGATGTTGACGAGGCGTGCGGTCATGGCGACGACGACCTTTGAGGGGCTAGCTGCCAGGGCGTGAGGCTTTCCGGGCAGCTGGACGGTGATGTTCGTGTCAGAGGGCGACTTTGCGTTGTGAATCTGGAGGGTGAGGTCCCAAGAGGCGGAAATGAGGAGAGCTGTAAAGTTGATTAGATGGTGTGGCTAAGGGTTGGCATAGCTGTGACATCACTAACAATGCTCCGGGCTGTAGACTACACATCGTGCAGGTGCGCCGTGTTGCGCAATGACCTGTTTCTCTTCTGTCTCAAGGTCGATCCTAGATAGAAAGCGTCAGCTTCGCTCAATTGCTAGTAGGAGCTTCGTGGTTCGCCATACTTGTAGACGCAGTGGTCTAAACACGCCGCGTAGGCCTCATTATCTGTCGCGCCAAAGGTTACGTCCAGGACAGGCGCCCGGAACTCAATGGCTTTAATAAGAACTCCTGGCGCATCTTCACCTCCGCTATGTGTGTCGTAGAGGTAGATTTTCTTGTCCCAGCAGGACACCAGGAGTCTGGTAGGCGATTCGGGCGCATATGAAAGCGAGGAGATGGCGTCGCTAGGCGGTTGCGCCAGCTCAAATTGGGATGCTGTTGGAGTATTAATAAATGACCAATATTGTTGGAGCGAGATTTGAGGTCGAAGTCCTCCGGGAACTCACCAGGTGCCATTTTTTGGGTTGCTTTTCTGATGTTGTTGAAGCTCTTACGGTGAAGTAGCTCTATGCGCCTCTAACAACAAGCAGCTCTGGGTGTACCTGGATGTTAGCTTCTGGGGTCTGTTTACCTGAACAATTTGGTTGGAGGGGCGCTCACGTGGCGATAAGCGAAGCAGAGCTTATCGGTCGAATCAGCACCGATTCTGCCATGGACTACCGCCCCGAAAGCACCCCCCACCATTGTTCGGATTTCTGCGATTTGTGAACCGTAGTAGCAAAATTGTGACTCGATCGCCCAATCACCAACGCAACGCCGCTCACACCCAAAAGGCTGCTTCTTTCGCTTTTCGACGTCGCCCCCGAGCAACCGATCCCACCGTAAGCGATATAAAGACCGACAAGTAGGCCGAATCTCCACCTAGCACAGAGGAAACAAGCTATCCAAAGACCGGAGGAACGTGTAAAAAGCCCGCGCGCCTTCTTTCGCACCCCGCCCCTCCACACCTGTTGGCCGACCACCTTCAACAACACCACTCAACCGCCACCACCACCCTTCGTACTCGACGACTTCGAGCACCAGTAGCCAAGATGGCGGAACCGAACTACAGTCACTTTCGATACTTCGAAAACAAGTACCCCGAGATCGATGAGTTCGTCATGGTCAACGTCAAGCAGGTTTGTGCCCCGCCGACCCAACGCACTCGGCGAGCCGAACCGCCCAAACCCACCCGGTCGCCGTGGATATGAAGGGTACAGAAGAGAGAGGGAACATCCGGGTCTGACTGGTGATATAGATTGCCGAGATGGGTGCCTACGTCAAGCTTCTCGAGTACGACAACATTGACGGCATGATTCTGCTTTCCGAACTTTCGAGACGTCGTATCAGAAGTATCCAGAAGCTCATTCGTGTGGGCCGCAACGAGGTTGTCGTCGTCCTTCGTGTCGACAAGGAGAAGGGTTATATCGATCTTTCCAAGCGTCGTGTGTCGCCAGAGGATATC